AGGCAGAAGCTGTCCCCCCCCTGCAAACACGGAACCGAGGTAAGCCAAGCAAGTGGCCTGAGAACAGCCAAGTGCGCAGCCTGGCGTGTCCAGGCTCTTCCATCAGGACGTTTGATCGTGAGGTCACCTAAACTTTCCACAGCCACGGATGGTAATCACAACACGAGTTGACCTTGGCTAGCTGCCACGCCAGGGAGCAGCCCTTAGAACACACACAGGGCTTTTCCCTGTCCCAGCTGACTGCCACGACCGACTGCCCTCTGCTCTCTGTGGGCAAGGAAGCCGAGAGCAGGGCGATCCAGTGGCGTTTCCACATCTCCTGACGGCAGCAGGGCTCCCATGTGGCCTTGCTCCTCGGGGACGGGGCAGGCTCACCTATGCTCCCCTTCCAGGTCCTCTCCTCCTTCTTTTCTTCGGCCAGCTGGCTGCTGGTGAGAGAGGTCTGGCGGTAGTGGGTCCCGGTGGCCGCGGCGATGGACGGGACCGAGCGGGCGGGCCGCAGGCTGGCGGCGTCGGCCTTCCCGGCATCTTTGCGGGACCGCTGCTGGAGGACCTTAATCATGGCGTCCTTCTCGATGATTTTGGCATGGAGATTTTTGATGCTGTAAAACATAAAGCAGGGCAGACAGACAAACATATGGACGTCGCAGCAACTTGGACAGATTCAGAGTCTCTCATACTCAGTGCTCTAGCACAGAAACAAAGAACAGAGGACCACATGTTCTCACTCATAAGCGGCCCCCGAACATTTACCATCACACTATAAGTCAGGGATTGGCAGGAGTGGGATACTGCCTGGTGGGGGTGGGGACACAACATCAAGAAGAAGGGTACCCGATCTCAAACCAGGCAGAGTGGGGAACAAAGGGAGGCCCAAGCTCTACCTGTGTGATGACCACTTGAATACCTAATCCTGAACTGTACCCTACATCTTTAAAATAAAATATAAAGAGGAAAGAAAAAAAGACCACTGTAAAACAAAACAAAACAGCCTCAGTAAAAAGCCACTGGGTCAGAAAGACGGGAAACACATCTCCCAGGCTGTCCCCAGGGGCTTCCACTGTGGTTCAGGGACAAGGAGTCCAGCACGTGTGGTCTCCAGATTGCTTAAGATAGCATCTCTTGTGGTGGATCCCTAGGGTGCACCTGCCTGGCACCTCGGAAGGTGCTGGGATTTCGGGGAGCGGGGAGGAGTAGTTAGAAGTCCTATGGCTCTCCTCCAGGACTTCTGTGACCAGGGCGGGCTCAGGGACCACACTTAGAGGGTCTGGGACCAGGGGAGGGAGTGTCTTGGGAATGACAAAACTCTGAAGCCTCCAGCAGGGTGAGCTTTCAACTCAAGTTAATTCTCTATGTTGTAAGAAAAAAGCCAAAAGGACAGCCAGGTCCTCTGGAAGGCGATTACTCTATTTGTGAACACCCAAGTTTTTCTTGGGACTCTGGTAGTAACTCACTGAGCCTATTGGGGCTCGATGTCTCAGTCCCATTTTCACATCTGGGGTAGTCAAGGGGGACTTATGCTAAAAAACACCTGGGTCGGGCGTGGTGGCTCAAGCCTGTCAATCCAGCACTTTGGGAGGTCGAGGTGAGGGGGACTGCCTGAGCCCACCGGTTTGAGAACAGCCTGGGCAACTTGGTGAGACCTCATCTCTACAATAAATCAAAAAATTAGCTGGGCGTGGTAGCATGCACCTGTAGTTCCAGCTCCTTGGAGGTGGAAGGATCGCCGGAGCCCAGAAGGTCCACACTGGGGTGGCCATTAGTGGGCCACTGCAGTCCAGCCTGGGCAAGGGAGTGAACTCCAATGCAAAAACCAAAACAAAACGAAAAACACCTGCCAGAAATCTTGGGCAGCCCATCAGAGAGTGCATTCACCAAGTAAGCTCCTTATTTTGGGCTGGAATATATAAATTCTGGCTCAAAACTTTGACCCTTCACAATAGGATCTGTTTTTCCTTTCCAGCATGTAACACTTGGAAGGTTGTATAGACAGACACCCGGAATGACATGGGATCCAAATTCTTCTGCCACGGACTCAGTCTCTATCCTAACGCCTGCAGCTGACATGCAGTTTCCCCCCGGGGCTCCGGACCAGCCCCCTCACGCTCGCTGGGCTGGGATCTTTCCCTTCCCCCAGGGCAGGGCGTTGGCGGGTGGGGAGAGTTTCTGCAGCCGTGCAGAACAGGACAGAGCGAGCCTGTGCGGGTGGAGGGCCCGCGTGGCGGGGTCTGAGGTGCGAGGTCGGGCGTCCCTTACGTGCACTCCATGTCCTGACACCGCCTGCTGGCCTGCACCACCTCCTCCTCCTCCTGCCAGACGTGGGCCTCCAGGGAGCTCTCGCCATAGCTGCCGTTCCGCGAGTGGCTGGCGGCCACGGTGTCCCTGGCAACACAGCACATGCGCGCATCGCAGGGAGCCTTCCTGCTTGTCTCCACACGCTGCAGAGACCGCTCTCACCTCCCCGCCCAAGCCGCCCCTCCCACTCCCAGCTTACCCCCAACCTCCGCCGGTGCCAGGGCCCGGGAGAGGCGGCCCTTCGGGCGTGCCAAGAATCCTCTCCACAGACCCTGCACCCGCCTTTGCTCCCCAGTCCTGGCCAGTGCTCTGCCTACCCTGGACAGAATCAAGACCGTAGCTAAGGGAAACAGTGCAACTCCCAAGTCAAATCCCCGACGTGTCCCTGAACGTCGCTGGGTGTTAAGCTCGTGGCAGGTTGGGCACCTGTGGTCTCCTCTGCTGACTGGAGGATCCTCTCACTGTTCCTGGATGTCCAGCCCGCTCCTGGCGGACCCACACAGCACTTCCAGGCAGGCACTCTTTCGCCTGTGTCCTGGCTCGCTTCTCTAATCAGCGTGACAGGTTTGCTTCTGTTGTCACACATGCAGCGCCTGTTCAGCCCCTCACAGTACACCGGACCCAGAGCCCGGTGCCCTCGGACAGCGGGACCTCGGCGGAGGCCTTCCTTCATGCTTGCGTTCTGTCTCGCTTCCGTCTCAGGGGCCCTGCCTAGGATCCAGGTCAGGCCAGCGTGACGGACACGCCTGGTCCCGGGGCGGAAGATGAGGACAGATGTTCTGTCCTTGACAAGTTCAGGGGAGGCAGAGTGAGGGGAGGGCAGACGTGGGGAGATTAAAAGCCAGGCTGGCTGCACACCCTGACAACCAAAACCAACCGGCCAAGGGTGACCATTCCTGTCATTGTTTTTGCAATTTAATTTCTCCAAACTAACAATGGTCAGTTAAAAATAAGATGCCTGAGCCAGGCTCGGTGGCTCAGCCTGTAATCCCGCGCTTTGGGAGGCTGATGTGAGTGGATGGCCTGAGCCCGTGGGTTCGAGACCCGCCTGTGTAACTTGGTGAGACCTCCTCTCTACAATAAGTCAAAAAATCAGCCGGGCGTGGTAGCACGTGCCTGTCATTCCGGCTACTCGGAAGGCTGAGGCGGAAGGATCGCCAGAGCCCAGCAGGTCACTGCACTCCAGTCTGGGCGACAGAGTGAGACTCTGACTCAAAAAAAAAAAAAAAGGATAACTGCATCACCTAAGTGAAAGTAGTATCTCTCTCTCTCTCTCTTTTTGTAGGGATGAGGTCTCACTATGTTTCCAGGCTGGTCTGAACTCCCAGGTTCAAGCAATCCTCCTGCCGCAGCCTCAACAATTCAGGTGCTGGGATTGCAGGCATGAGCCACCACACCTGGCCAATACTAGAAAATCTCAAGATGAAAGACACAGTGTTGTGTCTGATTCCACGAGCACTAAATTAATAGAACACGATCTAGCCAAATATCTCATACCTCTCTAACTTCACATTCCAATGCTACAATCGTTGAAAACTTAAAGCACTTTTCTTGAACACCCAACAACAGCAGAGTTGAGGACCTCTGTTCACCCCTTTCCACAACAGCTACCAATAACGAGCATGGATTTCATGCAGGGCCTGGGCAGAGTACAGGACACAGCCTCTCTTGAGTTCTCACAACTTGTCAGAAGGTCTCACGAGCGCTGCTTACAGACGAGCAATCCAGGGACAGGGGACCTTTCGGGAAACACCCAGTTAGTGAGTCATGTGGGTGGACTCAAACCGGGCTGTGACTCCAAAACCCATGCCCTCGACTGCCACGCTGCACTCCTGGAAGCCTCATCTGTCTTCGTGAAGAAGGACTCGGCGCAGATGCAGCGATAAATGAGCAAGGGGGCACATGTGAGAATGTGGACCCAAATTGCACACCGTGGCTGAAAACACACCATGAAGCCGAGGCTGCAGAAGGCAAAGAAAATCTCCACGCATCTTACAAAATTATAGATTCACCCTCTGGTGCAGGACAGTCATCAGCACGGGAATTAGTGGCTAGGAACATGCCCAGTCAGTTTACTTTTGGAGGATTCACCTGGAGCTGGAGACAAATTTAACAATCCATGTGTATACTGGCGAGGAAGGGCAGCAGACACAACTCGATGAAAACAACTTAGTAAATACACAGAACTCTGAAAAAAATCACACTGCTCTGAAGGCTGTACGTTTCACACGTAGCTGGAAAGCTCAACCTCAAGAACTTCCTACCCACGGCATGAAGACGCACAAAGATGGCGACACCGGTGGGCGAGCAAAGCTGCTCTCTGCGTTCACACCGTCGCTTGTCCGCAGGAAGCATCTGACTGGAGAGTCGCAATGCTCACGGCCAGAAGGCGCCGCCTTTACCAAGGGGCCTGCAGCCGTCAGCGTCTTGCCAACGAGAGCTCAGAATCTCAACCTTGTGAAAAGATGCTACATTTTCCTTTTTGCTCTTAGTAAATTGCTCGAGTTACAGAGGCTCTCCAAAAATGATGTTAGCCTGGGCTGCGCACCCAAGCCTCGGCACCACTGCCCGCCCGACCTCCCCAGTCAGCGGAGGGAGAGGCTGCCAGGAGACGGGCAGAGCTCCAGCTGTCCGGCAGAGACCGGAAGAAGCAAAGGACGGGGCAGGGAAGGCGGGAAGGCGCCGGGGACCCCCACCTCCACCCAGGACACCAAGTGGGCAGGAGGGGGAGTGGCAGGGCTGGGTAAGCCCTGCATGACTCCCGTCCGGGGTGAGGGCCATTTCCTCCTGCACGGGTGGACCTAGAGTTACACGAGCGGGGGATTGTGCCTGGGGTCTGACTGGCGCCACTCACGCCCCACCTCTGTCCCATGCCCACCGCGGGGTCTCTGCTTCAGAGCCGTTCATGCCCCGCTTCTGATGTCATGTTCCGGCCCCGTTTGGCCCCGTTGGGCCTGGGAACCCACACACATCTCATCGAATAGACAACAGGAGTGGAAACATAGCGATCTGTGAGGCCTGCGTCATCCCTCCGAGGTAACAGCTCACACTGCCTGGGGCTTCCGCCTCCTCAGCCAGAGGACCCTGTTCTTAACTCATCAAGGTCAGCGTTTCCATCTCACATGTGAAGCCAGTGACTCTCACAAGGGCTCGTCTGGGATCGCATGCAGGCGCGCTATGTTTCCTCTCCCTCCGCTGTGCACGCGCGCGCGCGCACACACACACACACACACAGCAGAGGCAGACACCTCAAAAGCAGGTATCCCGCCTCCCCAAGCAGCGTTCTTTCCGTTCCAGCCCCGGGGAGAAAGGAGACGCCCGGGCGTTCGTGGACAGCGGGGCACAAGGCCAGCCCTGGCAAGGGGGCCAAACCCCCCTGGGACTTCAGGGTGGCCCGTCCTCCGCCCCAGGAGAGACCAGTGACTCCATTGCTCGCTTGGAAAACCAGAAGCTGGGAACGGAGCCTCCAATTCTGGAAGACTCGGTCGGGCCCAAAGCCCTCCAGGTCTCACCCTCACTGTGCAGGGGCTGGACTGGGCTGCAGCTTCCTGCCCAATTCCACCCTGGGATCCGGGCTCCGGGCTCCGCCTAGCGCACCCTGCTCAAGTCTCACTCAGGGGGACGCTGTGGCTGTCTCTCCTCACAGCACTGATACGCACTGACGACCTGCCAAGCACGAAGAGCTGACTCCGAGTGGTCACCTGGGTCTGCAGGTCCTCCTGGCAGCCTGCGCGCGCATGCGGTGGCACTGCTTCTCCAGCTCCCGGAGCTAGCCTCTGGGCATACGGCTGGGGCCCTTCCCTACCCCAGAGTCCATGCGCGACTCATACAGCTGGCCCCTCCATCCCAGCAGACTTTCTCGCACTCATCAAAAATCACCCAGCCCAAGGCAACATGCAACTGTCTCCAGAACCTCTTGGCTCATGCCCTGTCAACCCAAATGGCACCACAAGAGCCTTTGTCATGCGGATTTCTGGAGCTCCTTTGAAATTTGAGACCGCGCTCCAAATACACTTGCCCTAAATGCTGGTGAATTCCCAACAGAAAGCAAGCCGTGTTGGGGGCAGCCAGGGGTTGGGCTGGCCCCCCCACGGCTGCCAAACGTGAGCAGCAATGAAGCACGTGGCTGAGGCCAGCAGCCCAGAGCAAGGGGAAACTGCCGTGCTCATTCAGACAGCACAGATCTCAACATATTTGGGTTGTTTTTGTGACTGACTGTACGTTTTCTGTGAATTTTTAAAGGAAGAACAAGGCCGCATGCCTTCAAAAAGAAGGCAAACAACAGGTGAAAACTGTCAGCAGCAGAAAACAATCTCAAGCTGAGCAAATTCGGGTTCTGAGTCAAGCAGATGTGGCAACATGTGGCCCGGCCCGGTCTCCCGGTGATTCAGAACCGACCCATCATCTCTCTAGGCCTCATTTCGTCCACCTGGACAAGGAGGAGAATATTACCTGTGCTCAGGGCTGCTAGGTGGATTATATGTTCTCGTCCAGCACATGACATGGACCTGGCATCCACAAGTCACAGATCATCCATTCACAACATCCTTCCTAACGATCACACAGTGTTCCACGGGGTGGATGTACGCTGACTGTTAGATGGCCCCAGGCTATTTTAAATGGGTTGACATTTCCAACAACACTGGGGCATCCTTGGACGCTGGTTTCAGGCACTTACATGAAAACTTCCTGAAGACAAACGCCTAGAACCAGGACTGGGGTGCCCCAGGGTCCGCATAAGTGGCCAAGCTCTCCCCGCTGCCTCAGCACGCCCAGCTTTCTCAGCATCCGACCCGCCACACCCTCGAGGGATCACACTCGGAGGCGGGATAACTGGGCCTCCTTCCCAGGGCCCCTGGGCCTCCCTGACGCCCGCCTGCGCCGACCCTCACTGCGCCTCCAGCCTGCGAGCTCCGCCTCACCTCTCGGCCGCAGCGGTGGCGGCGGCGTTCATGGCGAAGTGCCGGATGGCGCTCTCCTCCAGGTACTTCTGCTCCCACCGGGTCATGTCGGCCTCCAGGGCGAGGATGCGCTCCTCCTTCTCCCGCACCAGCTCCAGGAGGGCCGGGGCGCTGTGTTCCGGCACGCTGGCCGGCGGGCCGCTGCCGTGCTTCTGGAGGGACAGACACGGTTCTGGACGCTCCGGCCCTATCGGCCCCGTCCGCACGGCTGCCCACATGGAGCACACGCGCTCCCCGGTCCCGCGGCAACCCACACGCCGTGCCATGTCACGCACCAGCCACGTGACACACGGCACCACGTCCCATGCCACCTCAGGTCACACCCCGCGCCACATCGCACAGTGCCACGTCACACACCACACGCTGTGCCGTACTACGTGACATCATGCCACACGCTGTGCCACGTCACACACCACAGCACACACCACCTCACATGCCACGCCACACCTGGTGCCCGTCACACACCTCACCACAGCACACACCAGGTCAGGCCCCACGCCACGCCACTCCTCGCACCACAGCACAGGCTGCACCGTGGCACACACCAGGCCACACGTTTCACACGCCATGCCACATCACACGCCACCTGCCACGTCACACACTGTGCATGTCACACGCCGTGCCACTTCACCTCCAGATCCCTCCACTGCATTCTCACGGAGCTCCGCGCCACAGACACGTCACCCCGGCTGTGCCGAGGACAGACTACACTCTGGGAGGCGACCTTAACAGGGTGATGGCTCAGCTCATCGGCAGCGGGGCCAGGCGTCCAGGGCCCAGGACCCTGCCCAGTAGGGCCAGGCGCACTGGCTCCAGGGCGCAGGGATCCCGCACGGCACAGAGCAGCTGGCCTGGTGTCTGGCAGTTAATTTACACCAAAAGCGAGACCAGGGATGAAGTCTGGCCTCCCGAGTTCAGGGACATGATTCCAGGGGCTGCTGCCCCTGAGGCTGGAGACATGGAAAGGCAAAGGAAGCGGAGCAGCCCTGAGCCCCCGGCCCCCAGCTGCAGATTGGGGCGGGGCCTCGGAGGCCCAGGAGTGGAGACCCGGGAGTGAGTCCACTTGGAGTCCACAGGAGGGCAGGAGTGCCGGCTCCCTCCACCCGCGTCGGCAAGGGAAGGTGAGGGGCTCTTGTCTGGCCACCCACAGCGGAGGACACTCACACCCAAGACTCTCCTTCCTCATCTCAGGTCCACCATTTCCTCCACAGATCACAGGGCAGGACCCGGGGTTTTGAGGGGTTCTGACTTCAGCCCGGCCACGGAGCCAGGCTGTCTCGGGGTCTCGGGGGAGGGGCCGCCTCACGCCCGCGTGCCCACGTCCTGGGACACACACTCCCCGCATGCTTCCCCGTGACTAGGCACAGCACGAGGTCTGTGAACGCGCCACCCGGAACCACGCGCAGCCCAAGACAAGGAGAGGGCTGGGATGATCAGGAGCAGCCACTGGGCAGCTGAGCTGTGGAGGCCAACCCCACAAGAGAGAGGGGAGCAGACGGGCCCAGGGGCTCTCGCCAACCACGCATTTCCATTCCCTTCCTCAAAGCTGCAAAGATGAGCCATCCTCGGAGTGGTGGTCTGCTGGTGACCAAACGCAGTAACAGAGCGGAAGGCACACACCAGTCCTCGCCTGACCTGCCCCGGAGGCCACGGACCCCACTGGCCAGGCACCCAGACTCAGGCAGGAGAACAAACAAGCCAGTCCACCGAGATGAAAGGCCTCCCTATTTTAGCAACCTTCCAAGAAAAGGCTCCCACGGCCTCACTCAGCTGCCATCTATGCTTGTCAGTTTCTGTCTCATCCCTTCTGCTCCCATCTCTGCTGGCTTATTTTTGCTGAATCCTCTTGACCTATGATGAGGTCATGACAACTCTTCACAGCCCCTAATTCAGGTTGCTAGGAGTCATTTAAATAAATGCACAAACGTCAACGTTTAAGGGGAGGAGCCAGTCAGGTCCAAGGGGGAGGTGTGGTAGCCAGAAGTGCAAACGGAGGGCGAGGTGGGCCGGCTTCTGCCACTCAGTTAGCTCGCCAACAGGATTGACCAACGTGGCCCACGTGCCGGGGACGCGGCCTTGAACATACAGGTGAAACCCTCGTCCTCAGCGTGCTCCCACAGGAGGAGCACCCGATGAGCTATGCAGCCTTGCCCTGGCCCTTGAGGTCCCCAAGCCTTGTTTTCCTCTTAAAAGACGTCCCTCTTCTGTATCGCAGGACTCCTGTGGAGTCCGATGCAAAAATTACTTTGCGCTCTTTGAAAAAGATGAATGGTGCGTTCCTGAGACTGCGCATTCCCTCCCCCTTCCCTCTGGACTTCCACTTCCCTCCAGCGTCTGCGGATGCTGAAGCATGACTTCACCTTCCCTTGGGGAGGGGAGATCACCGCGACAACAGGAGTCGTTCTGAGAGCAACTGCGAGTGTCTCCTGCTGGTCCTGCTGGCCTGACCGATCCTGCTCCCTCCCCCAACCTTCCCCCAGCCACACCTCCGCCAGCCTTGTCTTCAGGCCACTGGAGAAGCTGGGGAAGGGTGGAGTTTGGGAGAGGGTGCCAGGAATGCCCTGAGCCTTCCAATGACTCTGAGGGTAATGATGGGAGTAAGAACAGCGACGAGGGCGGCTCTTTCCGAATCAGCTGCTGAGTGCCAGGCACTGCAGCCCGTACTCTGTGCAGATCTTACCTGTGGCTACAAGTATGAGATAAGCGTGATTCATCTGCCTCGTGTCACAGGCAAGAACATCAAGGCTTAGAAGGATGTCTTCTCAAAGCTACTCTTCAGGCAGGAGGAGGCAGCATTCAGCCCCGGTGGCTCTGAGCCTGGAGCCCACATTTGGAGTCAATGCACGACTCCATGCCACTCGGCTCACACCAGTGTACCCCCCTTCTGGAAGGACTCAGGGCACCACCCCAGAATAGCCAGAGCTCACTCGGGAGCTCTGTGTGGTTAGAGAGAGCAAGCAGAGAGGCTCGGCTGAGTCCTGGTGTCCATCGAAGGGCAGAGCTCTTGTGTGAGGCGTTGCTTCAGCAAGTGCTCTAAGACACCCTCCCCCAAATCTCTTTGGAGTCATGCCCCATGGGAAGCAGCGAGGCCATGGGGTTGGTCTCACGATTTTGATGAGGGTGGAGATGGCGGGCCTTGGCTCAGGGTGACCGCAGCATGCTTTCTAACGGGACAGATACATGACTCTCTGACACCGGGGCGAGGGAGCCGGTGGCGTGGACTGTGGGACTCTCTCCCGAGGCTGCCCACGTCTGTGCTGAGAACTGGCATGTGAGCTGCTCAAGGGTGGAGAAGGATGGGGAGGCGAGAGAGGCCTGGACTCCCCTCCCTGAGACACCGGGCTCCTCAGCTCACCCTGGATTCTCGCGTGGACTCCAGGCACTCCTGGTGAGGCTGGTAGAGCTGCCCCCGCCCTGTCCACTGGCTCCAGACACGAGTCTGGGCAAATTTCAGCCTTCACAGGATCTGCCACGTGGAACTAGAAAAACTCAACATATTTTGGGTGGATGGTTTGGGTAATAATAACACATTTACCTTTTCTGGTTATGAGATGATGCATTCTTACTGGTAAAACTAGAAAATAAAGTACTGAAAGAAAACGTGATACAGGTCGAGGACCCCAAGTCCCAAACTCCAAAATCCCAAATACTTCTGGTCCTAAGCGTTTAGCACAAGGATTACTCGACCTGTACTTATGTTGTTGTTGTTTTTTTCTTTTGAAAGTAGGATTTATTGAGAGGACAGAAAAGCTCCCACAGTGGGAGGGGGCCCAAGGGGGTTGCCCTGTCCTTATCTTCTTAATGAGTAGCCAAAAACAACAGAAAAATCCAGAGTGCATTTCCTATCACAGGAGACAGACCAATCTCTCTCTCTCTTTTTTTTTTTTTGAGTTGGAGTCTCACTTTGTCACCCAGACTGGAGTACAGTGGCTGCTCCCGGCCACTGCAGCCTCAACCCACTGGGCTCCAGCGATCCTTCTGTCTCAGCCTTCCAAGTAGCCAGAACTACAGGCATGCACTACCAAGCCTGGCTAATTTTTTTAATTTATTGTAGAGATGAGATCTCGCCAAGTTTCCCAGGTGGGTCTCGAACTCGTGAGTTCAGGCAATCCACTCACCTCGGCCTCCCAAAGCACTGGGATTCCAGGCTGAGCCACCGAGCCTGGCCCAATCTCATTTTTAAAAAAGCTTCTCTTAAAGAGACGCTCCTGCTGCTTTAGGAGCGAGGCAGGAGGAAGGATCCCTTGCGCCCAGGAGTTCGAGGCTGCAGCCAGCTGTGGTCATGCCACTGCACTCCAGTCTGGACAACAGAGTGAGACTCTGTCTCTTAAAACAAAACAAAAGCAAACTAGGACCAGGCACGGTGGCCCATGCCTATAATTCCACTTTGGAAGGCCGAGGTGGGAGGACTGCTTGAGCCCATGAGTTAGACACCAGCCTAGGCAACATAGCCAGACCTTGTCTCTACAAAACACTGAAAGTTTAACTGAGCCTGGTGGCGCACACCTGTATTTCCAGCGTTTGGTAGGCTGGAGTGAAAGGATTACCTAAGCCTAGGAGGTCGAGGATGCAGAAAGCCATGATCGTGTCATTGCACTTCAGTATGGGTGACAGAGACCCCGACTAAGAAAGAAATGAAAATAAACATAAAAAGAAAGGTGCTGGGCATCGCAGCTCTGTGCACCCCCCGAGCTGGTCTCCCTTCCTCAGTCTCACGCCAGCCATGCCCAGAGGGGCTCAGCTCCCAGGGAGAGGCCCAAATGCAAGCAGAGCCAGTGTCCTGAAGAGCCTCAGCTCTGGAATGCCTTCCTCCAGGGCTGCTCGGGTCTGTCTGCAGCCCACAGGCACGGCAGGAAGGCTGTTTTCGTTGGCCTGTGGGGACAGTGCCTGGGTGCGAGGCTTCCTGCACTGAACGGTTTCTGTGGCAGTCACAGTATTTTTCAAAGAATTCCAACTGCATGCTTCTTCTTGCTGCACGGGGACGATGGAGAAGAGCCTGGTTTTCAGCCCTCAAAACAGAAGAGCCGAGGAGACGTCCTCTGACTGCAGGGTGGAGATGGCATGTGGACTGAAAAGCACTTCCCTGCTCTAAGAACGGAGATATGCCCGTGGGGTCACCAGACACGCCCATGTCCACCGAGGGCCAGCACGGTGCCCAGAAGCAGAGAAGCCCTGCCCTCGAGTGGGAGAGGCCAGCTCTCAACAGCTGAGTCACAGAGAACAGCTGAAGGTGGGCTCCAGGGCAGGGTGGGTGTGAGGTGCAGGTTGTAAGCACCAGAAACCCAGACACAAGCCATCAGCTGCGTCGAGAAGTCGGTGAGGCTGGGCTGGGCTTCCTGGGTTCTGGGAAGTCTCATTAACGCCTCCTCTTCCAGCCAAGGGCACGCGCCCAGCAGAGCTGCCCAGGCCTGCCCCGCCTGAGGGCTGACAGCTGAGTGGCATGCCCTTGAGTGTTTTCAAGTGCTCTGACCACAACCACTATGCCCTGCCCAGGAGATAACTCCATGGAGCCCTGCGATCCTCTCCCGGGGATCCCGACTCAGAGTACACCCCTCGCCTGCTAATGATGGACATGCTCAGGTGGAGCCAGAGTCCAAACACACTCCCTCCTGCTTGCCGTGGCCACACAGACCCGGGCTGGGTTTTCCTCCACGCCGACTCAGAGCCGAGTCATGGGTCAGCTGCCACCAGCAGGGAAGCAGTGGTGAAAGCCACGGGTGCCGGGCCCACGCGATCGTGAGGAATGGCCCTGACCCCACCCCCTCCTCTCCTTCCCCTCTGTACACTCCTCCCCACATCCCACTGGGCCAGCCCTGCTGGCTCTTCCCTTTGGCTCCTCCGTGGGCTCCCGTGTCACCATACCCTGGACTACACCGGCGGTCTTTGGGCTGGCCTCCCTGGCCTCGACGGCCCCTGGGACAGTCTCTGATCCACCAGAGGGCTTTTCCTGGCCCCTTACTCCACACTCCTCTCGGCTCAGAAACCCCCCGGCTGTGGGCGCTCAGCTGACGGCAGGAGATCCTGTTGCCAATTCAGCCAGGTGCCCACACACGCTGGGTCTGGTCCCGCCTGCCGTCTCACGCCCAGCCCTCCGCACTCGCGCTCCCGTGCCTCCGAGGTTCTCACCCCAGAGCTCGACAGGCTCATCCCTCAAAGGCCAGCGCGACGTCCTCTGTGGGGACCCCAAGAGCCGCATCCCCCGCCCCAGCCAGGCTGGCAGCCACGCTCTGGGAGGACACCTGTCATCACTCCAGTGGGCACTGGGGGTTTCTGAGGGCGGGGCGCCACCTCCCTCTGTGTCCTCCATGCAGAGGGCTGTGCTCACCCACCGGGTTCCCTGCGTGGAGTGAGGCCACACCCCGGCCCTCACCTGCTGGGCTCTCAGGGCGTCCAGCTCTCGCTCCAGCCAGGCCCGCAGCCTCCGCTCCATCTGCTCCCGCTTCTCACACGCCGACTGCAGCTGGGTCAGGGCCTGCTGGAGCTTCTCCACCTTCTCGACGTGCGCCTGCTTCTCTCGTAGCTGCGCGGAGACGGGGAAGAAAGGGCGCGGAGGTCAGACCAGCGATGCTGGGGGGAGGTGGTCCGATCACCGGGGAGCCCGTCCAAGCCGCAGGCTTGTGTGCCCCGGCCTCCTCACTCCCCGTCCTCAGGTGTGCCGGGATGGAGTCCCCGAGAGCCACCAGTGACATCTCGGGGGGGGCAGGACATCCGGAACCGAAGCCCCTGCCAGGCACTTGCAGTCTGTTGTCTGCACGGAAGACGGTGCCTTTTGCTTAGCAACTGAGACCCAAGCCCCAGCAGTGGAGCTTCTGTTTGAATGGCAGTCTCTCTTCCCCGCAGGCCCCAGGGCTTCCAGCCTTCCATCACGTGCAGCTCTGCACACTCGCCAACCCGCGGGCTGCGGGCTGGGCATCAGACGGAGTGTCAGTCTTTGCCAACGGCACTGCCATGAGCCTTGCACACTTCTCCGGGCTCTGGGATGCAGCCGCTCTGTTTTTATTCCTGTTTATCTGGGAGGGCTCCCACATCCCTCCCCTGGCAGCCCCTGGGAGTTGGCCCTGGGTAGAGTGGCTGGGTTAGAAAAAGAAAGGCAGCCCCCTGGGCGCTGCCTCCCACCCGCCCGCCTGGCCTCACCTCCTCCTCCAGCTTGATGACCCTGGCCTGGGCGTTGCTCAGGGCCTGGTCCAGGATCTCAATGTGTCTCCGGTGGGCCTCACCCGCCGTGCGCACCGCCGCCAACTCCATCTCTAGCTTCTCCTTTTCCTTCAGGAATTCTTTGTCTGAGTGGAAGACAAGAACAAAGCCCCTCTGTCAGAACGTGCTCCCTGCGGGCTCTGTGCCGGGCCACATCTGGCAAGGATTAGACGCAAGCGGCGTGCAAGAGGGGCGGACGGCATGGCCGCTTTGCTCCTCTTGGCAGGGTGGGGTGTGAGGGAAGGACTTTCCCGAAACCCACTGGCACCTGTAGACACACCCCCGGTGCCGTCCCCGAGGTGAGCGGCGACACAGAGCGGGGACCTCAGCGCCTCCGCGGCGCACTCCTCCCCAACACTGGCTTGGGCGCTGCAAATTCATCCTGTACCGACCATTTCACTTCAGCTCGCAGTGCCCCTGTCCTCCGTCTCCCGTGCCTGTGATGGACGGGCAGGCGACGTTCTTCATAACTTTAATGTTCTCCCTCGTGGCAGAGTAAACCGAGTCCAGGGAGACCAGCCAGCAGAGGGCAGCTTCCAGCCTAGGCCTCGGGGGTCTCACCGTCCCACGCTCCCCTCCCCACTGTCCCGTGCAGCCACTCCTCCCGTCTCTGCTGCTTTAGCTTGAGCGGGCAGGGTCAACAGTGTCGTGGCGGGAGGAGGCGGGCCGTCAGGGGGAGCAAGGAGGCGGGCTATTAGGGTAGGGAGCCCTCCCGGCAGGGTAGCTGTGCTCCCCAACTCCGAGGAGACACGGGGACCCAGCAGAGGGACCCGCAGGAGTCCCATGGGCAAGACCACCTCATGGGAAGGCCCTTCCGTTGATTCTGAGCTGAGGCCCTTGGGACAGATCTCGAGAAAGACACGTCTCATGCCGAACTGTTGGCTGAGCTCCAGCGCGTGCACTGCGGGTTCCTAACAGGCACGTTGACACAAGGGAATTCTCGCCCAGAATGGTCTGTTTACCCAGTGGATACGAATCGCCCTGAGCTGCGTGGAGCGGGGAGTTTAGCGGACAGCTCCGGGCCTGTTTACACAGAAGGATGCCTGCTCACACACTGCCTACTCCCAGACCACAGCAGGGCACGGGTCTGCAGCCAGGCCACCAGGTCGATGCGGGACCTTCGCGAGACATTCAGCTTGCACGTGTGAGGTCCCTCCCTGAGACGCCCTCTCCTCGGACGAAGCCAGCGAGATCTAGTTTGTGAGACTCTCATTGAAGATTAAAACGCCCACCACAAGCCTCGGCACGGGACAGACTCTCAATAAGTGACAATGAGAGCTGACACACTCCTGGAAACTTGCCCCCTGCCACGAGCGTACAACCGGGCCTCATCTGACCTTCACCTCGGCTCCATTTGGCGAGTGTGAGCACAAGCAATGCACGCCACGACGCGTGTGCCCAGTGGACAGCCGTCCCACGGGTGCCCCCCACCCTGCCAAGGGGCCCCTGCTGGAGCAGGACGTGAACGGAACTGAGAGCTGGGCCCGGCCACGCAAGGGTGCCCTCTGTCGCACCTGCTCCTTGCCGTGCTGGGGAAGGTTCAACGCCGGCTGGGGCGGTTCTGGGACGGCCACCGGAGCACTAGGCTCACCTGCTGGCTGAACCACGGGACTGCGGACCCTGGTGACTCTAGGAAACACCGAGGGTGGAGCGTGTGCGTGGCGCCAGTCCGCGGGAGTGTCGGGCTCTGTGTGCTGTGCTGCAGCCTTAGCTCAGCACGTCCACTCACGGCCGGGGCTCACAAGGGCAGCCAGCCTGCAGCCCAGTCTTTCTTGAGCAGGAATTAACTTCGAGGGCCTTCCCCACGTGACGGGTCTTGGGTGAGCTTTTCCCTCGGCCCCGCGTGGGTGAGCGATGGAGAGAGGGAGGAGCCCAGCCCCTGCCAGCTTAGGGGAGGCGTGAAGCCGTGGACCTGCTTGGTAGGTAGCAGGTGTGTGTGCTCTGGCTGACCTGTGTCTCCCAGAGTTCCTGTGCTAGGGACAATCACTGTAACAGCTGAAGAGCCAGGGCCTTTGAGAGGGGTCGAGGCCATGCGGGCTCCGCCCTAAAGGGTGAGTTAATACTGTTTGTGTAGGAGTTCAGTGAGGTAGGGAAGGGCTCCTCACAGAAGAGCGCGTCTGCTGGGCTCCTTCTGGCCCCCGGGCCTGCTGCTACCTCCCGCCCTTCCACCAAGGGAGGACGCGGCATAAGGCCCTAGCCAGGGGCCAGTGCCAGGCTCTCAGCCTTCCAGAACCCTGGACCAGACGAGCTTCCAAAGCACACAAACGACCCAGTCTGTGGTGATCTGTTACAGCAGCAGAAAACAGACTAAGACAGTGTTCTTCTCCTCTCAGCTGGAGCCAAGGTTTGACCTTAAGAGACTGGATTTTGGGGTTTTGATCTCTCTGGGAGGCAGGGAGAGAGAAGGAGAGAGAATGTGTGTGTGTGAAGGCATAAAAACAGACCAGGCTTCCCGACACTTTGTAAGGAGGGCTCTTGTTGCCTCAGATGTGGGAAGAGGGAGTTAGGCCAACAAACTTCGAGGAGGAGGAGACACGGGCCGACATGTGTCCTCTGAAGTGACTGAGTTTAGGGCATAGTCTCTCGGACTTCTGAGGGAAGGGAGCTTAAAGGACATTACCGGGGAAGAGGCCACAGACAACAGGTAGGGAGGCCACGGACAACAGATAGGGAGGTCACGGGCAGTAGGTAAGGAGGCTGACAAGGCCACAGACAACAGGTAGGGAGGCCAACAAGGTCACAGTCAACGGGTGGGGAGACCATGGACAACAGGTAGGTAGGCCCACAGGGCCATGGGACAACAGGTAGGGAGGTCAACAAGGTCACAGACAGCAGGTAGGGAGGCCACGGACAACAGGTAGGAAGGCCATGGACCACAGGTAGGGAGGCCACAGACAACATAGAGGGAGGCCGTGAACAATAGGGAGGGAGGCCACCGATAATAGGTAAGGAGGCCGACAAGGCCACAGACAATGGGTAGGGAGACCATGGACAATAGGCAGGTAGGCCCACAAGGCCATGGGACAACAGGTAGGAAGGCTGAAGGGTGATGTGCCTGAAAGTGTGCCCAGCCCTCTGTGTATCTACCCAGTCAATGTTCCATTTCGAAGAGCTGCCTGCTGGGATCCTCCATCCACAGGGATAAGCTCTGCATGGTGGAGCCCTTCCTGCCCGTCCTACCCACCCCTTTGAAAGCCCTGAAGGCCACTTGGCCCACGCTGGCCAGAGTCTCACGCGGGAGTCTGCAAGTGAAGAGGATGACGCTGACAGACGGGCTTAGGCCGTGTGGCCAGAAGATTCCAGCATGAGGTTGGGAGAAACAGAGAGAGCTACACGGTCAGGAATGAAGAGCCAGCAGACACGTATGGGGCAAGGAGAGAGTAAGACGAGGGGGTTGGGGGCGGCCACAGACACAGACTCCCAAGCATAGGCCTCCCAGCCCTGGCCCGGCCCTTGGGCGGCCTGCACCTTCTCCTGCGGCCTCCGGCACACACACGAGCTTCACACGCAGGCCCGGCGTAGCCAGTCCGGGTGGAGTCTCCCTTCCAGAGGGAAAAGATCGCCAGGATATGTACGCTCTCTTCCTTCTTCACACGTCTCCGCTCTTTCTCCACCAAGACTCAGCTTTGGGGTTTGGGACGTCTTAGGACGATGCTGACCCACACGGATGGCCTCAGCTCTGGCAACCGCAACTCCTCCACAGTGCTGCTGGAATGAGCTCCTCACAGGAAAAGGTGCCCCGACAACTACCTGCCACACTTGTCCTCCCTAACGCTGGACCTTCTCAAGGACCCCTCGGCTCCAAGGTCCCGGCACCACGTCTACAACCCTAAATAGAGTTGGAGAGCATCCCTTTCCAAGGAGCAGCCACAGTATACAGAGCAGACGAAGAGCCGGATCCATGAGGAAGTCCTTGCCGGCACCAAAGGCGGCTTCTTTTTTCTGAGGCGGTGTGAGTGACGAGACGAGAGGAAGCTCTTCCGTTTACGTCACTGACTCCACAACGTTTCAGGTTCAGCCTGCCTCAAAGACACCCCACGTTCAGGGGCCTCTGCTTAACATCTGCCCACAGCCCCTCACCCGAGCTGGAGCGTCAAAGAGACACACCCGGAAGGAGACCCCAGAAATACAATCCAAAATGAGCACTGTTTCCATTGCACACGTGCAAGCTATTCATGAGGCTTATTTGGTGCGAAGCAACACGAAAGACATCTCCTTTTAAAAGCCACACATTAATTCATGAACGGAAAAGTAATTGAACACAACGCTGGCCTTAGGCGCCGCCAGCTTGATTTTATGCTGTCTTTTAAAAATATGCTGCTGATGTTTCTTGGGTAAGGAGCCGGTTATCTCGGAAAGGGTCCTCAGCTTTACGTGGCCCCCGTCCTCAGCGCACATGGCCACAGTTGTGCCAGCAGCTAGAGACGTGGGCTGTGAGGGGCGCTCGAGGGAGTCTGAGAAGCTTCAGGAACGCGCCAGCGAGGGCTTGCTCGACGTGGTGGAGAGAGCCACACGTTTTTAAATGAGTTCTGCAATCAGGGAAATCGAGAGCAGGAGTTTGAACCCAACTGTGGTGCAGACGCCAGGAGAGAGGGAAAAGAGAGGGTCAGAGCAGGGGTGGCAGGCCGAGCGGGAGGGGGCTTTGCAGAGGAACCGTCTCCTCTGGAAGCCCCTTCAGCCATCGTGCACGCTGCACATCGGGCTTCCGTGTGACAAGAGCTCTGAGTTTGAGAGCCACGGGTCCAGATGTTACCAGAGACGAAGGTTTGCAGACATGGCCACCATGAACACGTGGGGTGATGCCTTCTGGAGAGATGGAGCCAGATGGGAACAAGAGGAAAGCAGAACATTTTCTAGGGGTGCTCAGCAGTGAAATTCCTCCAGGAGGGGCTCGTTTTCCAGGCCCACCCAGGAGGCTACAGATTCTCTCCCCTCCCCCTCCCCTATGTTGGATGAGGAAGGGGTGGGCAGGCGGCTCTCTCAGTGTGACCCACCCGGCATTCCAGGTCCGAGGCCGCATTCCTGCCCCTCACTTCACAGGGGCTGAGCCTCCTTCCCCGGGGGGGGATTTTCAGGATGTGAGATC